CCTCCTAACAGGAATGACAGGCATGAAGCTTGCCCCCACCGAGTTTATCTTTTGGGAGAACGGACAGGGCCGAATTGCCGACCAGCTGAAGGCTGCCGGCGCTGCCTGCGCCGCTAAGATGAAGGCCGGCCCCAACCTCATGGTCGTCATTCTTCCCGAGGGTGGGAATGATATTTACACTTCTGTGAAGCAGTATGTATTTTCTTTTCTGTGTCACCCGTTTATCGATTCGCTTGTCTTAGTTTCGGTGACGTCCAAATGGGTGTCGCTACCCAGTGCCTCAAAAGCTCCAAGTGCTTCCGGGCAAAACCCCAGTACTACGCGAACGTGTGTTTGAAGTGCGTGCCGTGCTTTCAAAAATGTTCCCTCCTCTTTTCCTCATCGATGTGATCCAGGATCAACGTCAAGCTTGGTGGGATCAACACCATCCCTGACCCTTCCTCGGTGTCTGTGTTGACAGACCCGCACAACCCCACTATTGTCATGGGTTCGTCCGTTTGGTATTCTGTGTTACCCTTCGTACTCACTCCCTTCGCCAGGCGGTTCGTCGGACTCTATCTTCCATTCTGACCAAAACTGATGACAGGACGCTTGGCCTTCATCCAGCTGACGTTCGTTGTTACATTGCTCTCCGCGGCGTTGTTCACCCTAATGGATCTCATTCCAGGTCATCCACCCCGCTCCTGGCTCGGACGGGCGGCCCTCGTTCACCGCACTCGTCGCCAATGTCGACTCTGACACAGCCAAATACATTGCGGCCAGCCGGGTGCAAACCTCTCGCCAAGAGATGATCGAAGAGCTGCAGTCCATGAGCAAGGTATGGGCGTCATGCAAGGCGACTTTCCTCGTTGCCGTCTCATCGTGTTCTAGCACGTCTTGAATATGTACATGCGCTACCGTGAGATGGCAGAGAAGAAGGCGAAGGGAGCCTCTGCCCCAAAACGCATCATCTTCTATCGCGGTGTGTTGGTCTTCTTCCCTGTTAGCTATCGGACCTGATGGATTCACAGATGGCGTGAGCGAGGGACAATTCAAGCAAGTCCTAGAGCAAGGTCTGCCGTCGATTGTTTTTTCCCGTTATATGTTACTCATGGTACTAAAGAATTGCCTTTGATCAAGAGTTTGTGCGTCACTGTCTTGCTCGTGTCATTTCTGATTTCACGACCAGAGGCCTGCGCCGAGTTGAACATCTCACCGAAAATCACGATTCTTGTTGTTGGCAAGGTGCGTTGTCCGAGCCCCTGGTGTATCGATTTTTATTTTTATTTCCAGCGGCACCATATGCGGTCCTTATTTCCTTTTCTTCACCTTGTGGTGTCTTAGCCTTTTTCTCCCCAGGTTCTTCCCTCAGAGCGAGCGCGATGCGGATCGTTCCGGCAATTGCCGCGCAGGCACAGTCGTCGATCGCGAGGTCTCTCACCCGACCGAATTTGACTTCTACCTTCAAAGCCACGGAGGGCTGCTGGGTGGGTGTTTCCCTTGAGCTTGCCGACTGATGACTGACCGCGTTGTCCCCAGGCACGAGCCGTCCAGCGCACTATTCGGTGCTCTATGACGTGAGTCTCGTATGGTCCAACGTTTCGTAGTCTAACTGAACACCGTTTCCAGGAAAACAATTTCTCGTAGGCGGTATATCTTTCTCCACATCAGCTTGTTCATGGTGTTGCTCCTTTCAAGCGCAGACGCCTTGCAGTCCCTCTCGTTCGCCCTCTGCCACGTCTACGCCCGTTCGACGCGCTCGGTTTCGATCCCCGCCCCCGTGTATTGTCAGTCGTCACGTCTGCTTATTTTATTCCCAGACGCTCATCGTTCACCTCCTAGACGCGGACATCGTCTGCTCCCGGGCCAAGAACCACTATGACCCGCAAGGCACCGTCGACTTTTCGGACTCGGCGACCCAGATCGACGCCGCGCAGGTGGACACTTCGCTGGAGGCCTTCAGACGCACTTCAAACCCCTTCACCAGTCGCAGTCCACGCTCATGTACTTCTCTGTCCGTCGCTTTTGTTATTTTCTGCTCGTTACGATGGCTGATGTCGATCGTTCCTCAGTGATCTACTCGTCGCCGATTTGAACACCATCTTGGTAGGTCCTGACCATGCCGTCTGACTTTTGCCAACACGACTATTCCAGCAACTCTGTCGCGCCTTTTTTTTTGAAACCTGCTGTCAGTTGTCCGCTATCTTTCTGATTATTTACCACCATTGTACCTGTACTGTAGCTGTCCCAATCACTTGTATCATTTCTGTATGCAAGGCCCGGTCGCGGTATTATAGGCAGTTGCAGACAAATTTCCAGTCCGTTGTTTGCTCCACAGTCGTGCTTGACATTCCCGCAAAACGGGCATCTCAAGCGTGTGTTGGTGACCTGCGGCCCAATTCGGTAGGAATCTCCGGCGCCCTGCTCGCTTTCAACATCTCCGGACTCTCCACGTCTTTGGCTCGTCGTGGCTCACTATCCCAACTTCATGTTCCCGCGTGCAATCACAGACACAATTGATTCCTCCCGCAATGACGTCACGCGACGGACTTCCCTCCTCCCGCCATGTCCTCCATCCAGCTTCCGAATTTTCTACTTGCCGCCGCTCGTGTCCCCGTTGTAGCAGTCGGAATACCTCTGGGCCTGGGTCTTCTCAGCGGCTACCCTACAGCCAAGGTCGTCCGAACTGATTGGTACAAGGCGCGCTCTGAGAGGATCGTCCATCTCAGCACTAGCTTACTGTCCCGACCAGAACTTGCGCACTCCCCCGGGGCGCCCGCCGCGCCAGGTGTTTCCCATTGTCTGGCCTCTGCTCTATCTGTGTAAGCTGCAGTAACTCGGACGCGCGATGCCTCTGAGGGATGATCAGCCATGGGATATGCGTCCCATCTCACCGTCAAGGCCCTCGACAGCACGGTCTCTCCGTCAGTCAGGTGCTTCTACTTTTTACGGACCACACCTCTAGCCTCACCGTAACGAGATCCGACTGCAAGCTCGCCCTTTCCCTTTATTACACCCAGCTTGCATTGAACCTTCTCTGGACACCACTATTCTTTGGCGCCAAAAAAGTATGATCATCGAACCACAATACCTCGCTCATTGACCTGACTCTCGCAGACTGGCACCGCCCTGATCGATAGTATCCTGATGGCCGCAGCCACGTTCTACATGACTGCAAGTCGTTTTCACCTCGATATCTCACTCTCATGTCAAAGTGCCGTTTCAGAAATTGTTGGATTCCACCTGCCCCGAGGCGAGCTACTTGCTCCTCCCCTACTGCGCCTGGCTGTCGTTCGCCACATATCTCAACGGTGGAATCTGGTGGCTCAATCGCAACCAGCCCAAGAAGGAGGATATCGATTAGACTACTTATTACCTTGCTTGTAAGTTCTCTCCCACCCCCATAATTGAGGCAGGTTTCATACCACCGTCTTGACCCGCATCCCGAACTTTTACCTCAGTTTTACTCACATTTTACGGCTCATTGCTAATGGCAGCGGGGGCTAGTAATACGGTAGTGTGATATAGTATACTTCCCACTTTCACGCGTACGTACCTTGTTGTTTCATCTGCAATTTTCGATCCATCTTCCCTGTCAACCTCGGGGTGTCCATTACCTTGTTTTTTTTCCTGTTCATCTCTACCAGAGTATTTCGAGACTATACATACAGATTAGACTAGATGTGTCGACGCGCTTGTAGATGTCGTGCACGACACAAAGCTCCCGCACTCCGTGCCGCAGACACGTAAGCTGTGTGTGGGTCTATGCAACCGTCCTCATCAACTCGACTGAGGCAACACGCAGCACGTCCAATCTGCAAATCCACACATTAAACCACATGAAATTGACTCGCAGGCGGCACACTCGAGCTTCACGTGTTCCCCACATCCGACTGTGCGCACTCGAAGCACCACCCACAGACGGTCAAATTTGTGCAGGTTCAACGGGCAGCCCATGGGCGACGCTGAGCGCGGTGAAGTCCGGAAGCAGGGGTTTTGGGCAGCGCGGGGGCACGCGGCCGAGACGGCTGCCATCAAGAAATCGAGCGCGGTTGGGGCTGGGAGTAGTACGTGCGAGGAGGTGGAATCGAGTGTGACTGGCGCCCGGAGAGGGCGATGGGGACAATACGTGGGGTGCGCAATCGGGCATGAGCAGAGAAGGGCCAAACTTGATCAAAGTCGAGTGCGATCGACTTCTGGAGCGGTCGATGTGGGTGGCGCTTGGCATATATATGTGACGCACGATGGCGGATTTGACACGGTCGGATTTGAGAGCAGGCAATATGAATACAAACGCAGTACGCAGGCGGCACAGGAGAGAAGTCGGGCGCGAGCAGTGCGTGGTCTATTCGGGACGACGCATGTCAAGGGTGAACAGAGGGCGGTTCAAGCACAAGGAGTGGCGCGTGGTCTACGCAAGCTATTGGACGCGGAGCAGGCATCGCCGCATCAGTGCGGGTGGCGTGGGGCGGCGTTTCGTATGCGCGTGTGATAGGTGCGGACTACAAACACTATTGCTGGTCCCAAGTCGCTCGTTCGAGAGGGTTCAAACCTTGTCAGCTATAGGTGCCAGTGAGAACTAGAATTCGGAAGGCTTCATGGAGTGAGCCGTTTTTATGTGCTTGTGTTTCAAGCAAGGTATCCGTCGACGAAGACCCTTCATACAGTAGTAGACAGAACGTAGGGAACAGAACTTCTCGGCCAGATGGTAGGGTCGTGGGAAGGTGGCGGTACTTGCCCGTATGTACTCGTTTCTGTTTTTGAGTCCATCCAGATGAATGAGACAGGCTCCAGGACAATCCTCTATTTTTTCTCTGATTTGTCGGCCCCGTCAAATGTCGGAACCCGGACGGCGGAGAGTGCAGCTCAACTTTCCCACGACCAGTGCGAACGCCAGTGTATCAATACTGTACTCGTGAGACTGTGCGTCGCGTTGATGTTAACATACGTGCGCGTACGAACCTCAGTCTGTCATGGCTGGAATGGAAAATTGAAACAGGAAGAAATTGAAGTCAACAAAAAGGCCGCGCCCGGAATCGAACCGGGGTCGCCAGAATTCAAAGTGTTCTCAGAATCTGAAGTGATAACCGCTACACTACGCAGCCGACACACCTTTTCTCGCTCTAATATACTAGATCCTGTTTTCTGACGTTGCCTTGGCTCTTGAATTTTTGGAATCAGCGCCTCAGTTAGTCATTCTCGGTAGCAATGTAACGCAGAAAACACGTACTTCATTGATGAATTGGGATATGGCCGCAAGCAGCAGGTGCCGAACCTTTATTGGTAAGGTAGCATTGCAAATAGAGGCATGTTCACGGACTGTTAACAAGACAGTGTAGGTAGTCTACAACATAACAGTAATGTATGTTGTTAGTTGATAGATGTGCACCCCATGAAACCGACACCCTGCTCTTGGGAATACCACGGGCATTCCGTCTTCCACTTAAACTTTGTTTGCATGTGAACCCGCGTCCCCTGCACTGAGTCGAAAGCATACCACAGACTAGGTACAGCCTGCCTAGACTGGTCAATCTCATCCCAAATGACAAGATAAGTTGTGAGAGTCGCATGAGCGTCTGTTGCTGCATCTATTGCTGATAGTCAGTTTTGGCGCAGAGGTCAGTTCATGACACTTAAACAGGAGCTGTTGGTCGCTCAGACGTTCTGCACTCCAGTCAGAGTTTTACAGTCCCTTGTCCAGTCTACGACCCAGCACTTAGAGGGTTATGTTGGCAAGACCAGCGAGACAAGCATACTGGGCACAAGGATGGAATACTTCAGGCCGTGCCAATTTCGCAAGGAGGGCGAGCTCGATTGTGGGAGTGACGTCGAGTTGGAAGTCCTTCCAGAGCCTCTGCGCGTCGTCTGAAACCATTCAGTATTGACACACCATGGGCACTTCACCGCACTCACTTATGATACCGATGGAGATCTTGAGGATAAGTCGTGCCTTGCAAATGCGAGACAGTTCGGTTGGGATGCCTATGCATGTGTCAGTTTATACTCAAAAAAATGTACTGGATCTTACACTTCATAACAGCTATATTGAGCACATACAACATACTACCCAGAGTGTAGATCTGGATAATACACATCTTGACCTCATCCCAGTCGATCTCGAAGTCAGATAGTGCAGCAACTTGAGATCTGATGAGTTGGTTTTTCTGGCCCTTAGTCTTTTTTGTAGTGCCCGCTTCGCTGTCACCATCGGTAGCAGGCTGCTTCCATTCGACATCGAGAGCTACAATTGTGCCATCTCGGATGTGGCTGAGTTGTTCATTAGCAACATGTGACGACTGGATGTACTCGAACATAACGATGGGGTAGGCCTGGGGAGCGGTGGGGAGGTGAGCCATAGGTTTGGATGGGGGGGTGCATCGAGACGGGTCTTTAAGTAATGTAAAATGTTGTGGAACGATGAATGGTCGACATTTTTGCTGGCCGTGTCAGATTTACTTTGCAACGAGGTCGGTCGAGTATATCCGCAGAACGAGAATGTCTCATACACCGTGGATCTCTAGTGGAACTTAATATTTGTATCCGTGAGCCACCGGTTGAAGGCTAAGGAAGAAACCAAGAATAGTGTCACATGTGACAGTTGGAGGCGCCAATAAACACACAGCATTCAAGTTTGCCTTTCAAAGTCAAACTTAAAGAAAAAAAGTGAGTTAAAGCGGGAAGACACAATCAAATTTCATACAACAAGATATTTGATGATTGATAGCAGCCACGTGGGACACGTTGCTTTTTTTTTAAAAAAAAGAAATTCGATAAGAAATGCACTGGCCGTCGCTCATGCAGTCAATCAATTGCCTTAACTTTCAGCGGTAGCGGATGCTGAGCCCGACCCAGATGCCGCAGGCATGTCTGCAGGTTTGCGACGCACCGGTATGTTTCATCCAGTATCTCTGGCCGTTATCATATGCGCCACCTGGCTTCAAGTACTTGTTTCTGTGAGCCTGGAGCGATGATGATGATTGGCCGTGCTTAGGGTTCCTGTTACCGTCGACAATATCCATTGGGATTGTGAATAGACAAGATCTTATTGTATTGCGCACCTCGAGGATTTTTTTGCAGCCAATACTTTCGAGCGTGGCCTCGTCGATGTCTGGGTTGGAGGCATTTGGACTGTCAGTCCTTCTCCACTTCTGGAACATCTTCGAAGCTGGCGCATGCCTCCCCCACATCACCTTTCCTAAAAAGGCATATCTCATCAGCACGTGCGTCGACCGGCGTTGTGAGGCTGCACTATGTTTGCCCACCGTTGCGACATAATCTGCGGTGTAGTCCGACCAGCGACCAGGATCATTCCACCATGCTCCGCGATCATCTATACATCGTCCGCCGGCTCCAGAGTCACTCTGCCACGCTTTGCGACTGTCTACGACCAAGTCCGACCCACCGTCCGCTGGCTCTACAAGCTAGTTTGCATCGTCCGCCGGCCCCAGAGTCTGACTACGACCATGTCCGATGAGCAATTACACTGTCCGCTGGCGCCAGGATCATTCCGCCACGCTCTGCGATAGTCTACAACCAAGTTTGCATCGTCCACCCGCCCCAGAGTCTGACTACGACCGTGTCCGATGAGCAATTACACTGTCCGCTGGCGCCAGGATCATTCCACCATGCTCTGCGATAGTCTATAACCAAGTTTGCATTGTCCGCCGGCCCCAGAGTCTAACTACGACCATGTCCGATGAGCAATTACACCGTCCGCTGGCGCCAGGATCATTCCACCACACTCTGCGATCATCTATACATCGTCCGCCGGCTCCAGAGTCACTCTGGAGCACACTTTGCAACTGTCTACGACCGAGTCCGACCCACCGTCCGCTGGCTCTACAACCTAGTTTGTGTAAGCCCGCCCGTGCTAACAACGCCACACTGATTACATACTCACGATTTTTCTTGTTCTGGTACCACTATCGTCGCCTGGCGCTCTCGAATATACGCTGGTTCTATTTACTTTGTTCTGCCCTTCAACGTAGTGTTTCTTGCCTTCTTGAAGAATAAGGCAAGTTTCCACTTTTTTTTAAATATCAGCCATCGTATCCACCGACACCGCACATCAACGGTGATCAAGAGATCCTCGCCCTTGGCGTTGGCCTTTTGATTCCGTTTTGCTCCCGCCGTTCAACGTTCCCCACGGGGATACCACTGTCATCGTCCACTGTCCACCGTCCACCGTTCGCTGCTCATACCGACCGTTTTCAGTGCCACGTCACATCGACGACACAGCCACCCTGCCTTCCAGAGTCCCTTCAACCCCGTTTCCCTTGACGACAAGGAGAGCAGGACGCCTAGCACAGGAGTCCATCGACCCCGAACCACACAGATCGTCCTCCCCGCTCACAAATCCCCCCCCTTCCCCACCTCGACTCATACACCTTCTCCCTCTCCTCCTTCCACCTCCTCCTCATCTTCAGACTCCTCCCCTTCCCCATACTCCCTCATTCCCACCATGTCTTTGAATAACGACCAAGCCACTGTCATCGCTCCCACCGGCAAACCGCCCACTCTCACACCGGGGAACTCACCCCGACAGTAGCGGCGAGCTTCGAATATGCTTGCAAGAATTACTTCAACATGAAGAACGTTGCCGCAGACAAACAGGTTGCCAATGCCATCGGCGGCCTACAGAACGTACACATGCTCGATTGGCTTCGTCCAGAGGCCGAACACACTCGCGTCATAGCCCTGTCTTTCAAGGACTTCATGGCAGAGTTACGGAAGCGCTTCCTCAACGCTAATTGGGAGTCGAAAACACGACACGAACTGTTGAAATGCCGCATGCGCGCCGAAGACACCTTCGAGATCTTCCACACCCGCATAGTCTCCCTGCACTCGCTCCTCATCGGCACCGACTCCCAGCTCGATTCGGGCCGCCTTCGACACACGATCGAGGCCGGCCTCGTCCCAGACCTTCAGCGCCGTGTTGACAAGTCGACGAAGGCGAGGGACATCGCAACAGACAAGCTCATCGAGTGGATCGCTGTTGTAAAGGACCTTGACGAAGACCGCCGCGACGACATCGCAAAGATCCAGACGCAACTCGACCTGCAACGCAAAGTCGAGAAGCGCAAGGCAGAGACCGACGGAGGCGGAAAGCCCAAGAGGCAGACGCACGACATGCGCAACGCGAACGCGAACGCCGGGCCGTCTAACAACGGCACCTCCTCCTCCTCCGAAAGCCGCAACCGCTGCCCGAAGATTACCCCTGCCGAACCGACCTTTTGTATAAGCACCAAGGCTGCCTCAAATGCCGCAAGCCATATGTCCAGCACAAGTCTAACGACTGCCCGAACGACTTCCCTCCCGCCGCGAACTATGTCGCGCTCACAGAGGCGGCATGTCTGGCGCCAAGAAGACCGGCACCGCCGCCGCGCCCGCCGCGCCCCCATCGCCGTAGTAATGCCGGACATTGACGACAGCGACGACAGCGCGACCGATGAGGACCTTTCCCTCCCGGTGAGCCCTTCCTCTGACCCCCATTCCCACCGCGTCGAGCACCTATTCTGGAGTTGTCTCCTCGATTCGGGCCTCGACGCGGAAACGTTAATGGAAGTACGAGCCCTTATTGACAATGGCGCCCATCTAGCACTCATAGATGAACGTCTCGTCACGAAGCTCGGACTCCGCCGTCGCAAATTGCATGTTCCTGAAACCGTATCCCTCGCTATGTCTAACGACTCCCCTACACCTACCGCTACTACCTTGACCGAATACGTGAAACTTAGCGTAATCTCAAAAGACCAATCGTGGGTCTCGAATACCGTACGCTTCTTGATAGCTCCGCGCCTGTGTGCGCCACTAGTACTAGGTCTCCCTTGGCTCGAACGTAATCATATTGTAGTTGACCACCATGCACGTACGATAATTGATAAACACTGCAACTACGACCTCTTGAACCCGCCTGAGCCTAAGGAAGCCCCGAAACGAAAGCTGAAGCTGCGTGAGAAGCTGAGAGCCACGAAGATGGACCATAAGCAGATGATGAAGGAGCTGCAGACCGTCTGCGAAAACCGACGCAAATCAATGGAAAGTAAAAATTTATTCGAAGATGTAAAAGAAGTCGACCCTATTGCGGCAGTGCGCGAACGTATCG